TCACCATGGGTGCTCTGTGTGGGTGGCTGCAGGAGGGAGCACGGGGGAGCACAGGGTGGGTCCTGCTGGCACGAGGTGTCACTGGCCGTTGTAGCACCCGGCACATTTCCTCCGTAGTGCTCATCGTGGTGTGTAGCTGCCTATTTCTGTGATTAATTTGTCTGGAAGGAACCTTGTCTGTTTTGCCAAGAAGTCCCAGGAGGATGTGGATTATGACTCTCTGCTCCCCACCGTGTCTGCAGCGCATGGCACAGTGCCCGGTTACAACAGACACTTAAATATTTCCCAGATGAGAGTGAGATGGATAAGTGCAGGTTCCCTCCAAAGTGCCAAAGACATTGTGCTAAGGATTACAAACATCCCTTAGAAATAAGCTCTGCTTATTACTATGTAATCGCATCTCCCTTTTGCCCACTTGATGAAAATTCTCTTTCATTTTTTAATAGAGGACTTTAGCTAGTAACTCAAGGGGTCTCTCCTCTTCAACCCTACTTGATTTAGTTTTTTAAAAGATAGCCAGCCTCCCTCCATCCCCCAAAGAAATCTTACCTGGAATTCTAATCCAAAACAGAAAAAACATAAATTGAAAACTGAGTCTCTCTGGGTGCAGTGGGTGAGGTACGGGAAGCACAGAAGTGTCACAGCCTCCCTTCAGGCGGTAAGCTCCTGAGGTTGAACTGAACATCCTGCCTGAGTGGTGCCAGGAGATCCCTGCCCAGATTTATTGGAACCTGGGTATTCAGATTCTGATTCAGACTGGAATGCTCGAACCACACCCAGACCCCAGAACATGGCAGAGTCCAGCTCCTCAGAGAAACGTCATGCCCAGGTCCTTGTTTCCATCTGGTTGGATGATGATGACTTGCTCCACAGAACTGGGTGTCAGACGAAACACAGTACAGCCTCAGTAAGAAAAATCACCTTGTATTAAGTATAGATCATATCCAAAGCAGTTCATAGTTTCATATCCACAAGTGTTGGAATACTAGCGTGACTTACAGGGGCCTGTTATGAACAACTCACAGAACTCCTTTTGTGCCTCGCCACTGGGAAATAAAAGCTCATGACACCCATGAAATTCTCAGGGAACTTGCCTTGGGGAATCTAATAAAGAATGCTGAGATCCCTGGAGATGTGTGAAAGGTCCTTTTCTATGGTTTCTTTACCGTGGTAATACCAGTTGAAGGAGCATGCAACTTTCAAGAGTTTATGCTTTGACGTTATGGTCATTGTATTTTTTTTTTTCCAAATGGAAATTTATTTTTTGATTCATTGTGAAATACATAACATGACCATGCCAGGAAAAATTTCATCTATTTCCCTGAATTCATCATTAATAACTTTAGATAGTTCTAGTCTACTAGCTGTTTGGCCCAGACTCCTACAAATAACTTTCCTTTTCAGGAAGGTTATCAGGAAGATGTTACGTTTTGCAGAATGAGGCTGCTGTGGCTATCTCTATGGGACAGACTAGGATGTGGGGGAGAGAAAGACCCAAAACATGAGGGGAGAGTTGTGGTCTGAGATCCCAAGGCGATCCTGGTTCCTGGTCGTGGGGAAGGGACTCACAAAGCCAGCAGCAGCCATGAGCCTCGGGAAGGAGCATGGTCAGAACCAGGGTGCTTTTCGTTTGAACTGGTATTTGGACGGGCTCTACTCCCAAGCCTTCCTCCCCACACCAGTGAGCATTAATCTACCTGCTGGCCTATGGGCACACCTACTAAAGTTTACACCGTGGAAATGACTTCACTTAAGCCTGCAGTAGATGCTGGGAATTAAGACAGGAGAGAAGGCAATATCCTTGTGGTACCCCCTCCCCCACTTCCTTTTGGCATAGCAAGGCATATACTCCCTCTGGAACTAGGAAAAGAGGGAGATTCTTCTTAACCTCTCTCATGATACTTTTAACAGATTTTATCTTCATTGCTTTCCAGAAACAAAGTCCTATTCTAAGTCCTAGTTAGTTATGAAGGTAGAAAAAATTGAAGTCAATATTTCTTCTAACAGGTTTAAGAGGTGTCAATGATCCTTTCTACCCATGAAACATGAACTGATCTGGTAAAACTGTAGCAGAATTTATGTCCCCTCCAATATAGCTTTTCCATTAAGTTTTGAGCAGAAGTCCCGTTTAGGTGAAGTGTTCGTTTTCTATCCGTAACTAAGGTACATTAGAAATAACATTGCTTTATAATGTCTCATCGTTGAAAAATATACTTGGATATACAGAGTTCAAACTGTGTCTAGGAATAGTGCAAGTTCTGAAAATCTGAGCATTAACAATTATTTTCTAAATTGACCTGGTCTAGTAGATTGAGATGATAAAATGCAGGTTACTGCATATTTTCCTGGAGGACAATATCTTGAACAATTCCATAAATCCCAGATATTACTACTTTCAGTTCATTCTTTTAATATAGTATCTTAGCCTGTGACCAATTTGATTCTACTTCAAGAGCATGTGACAAAAAAGATGACCTCTCTAAACACAGTTCATTATCAAGAAAAAGTAAATTCCTAATTAAAAAAAAAATAAAGATGAGCCTAATAATTTCTCATAGAACCTGTGCAGTTTCTTTTTTTCCCCCTTTTTTCTTAGCAGTCATCCATTCATACTCTTTTTTTTTTTTTTGAGGGGTTTTTCGCTATAGGGTGTGTGCTCTCGCCAGACAGACAGAGAGAGACATAGAGACAGAAAGCGAGAAATCACCCTCCCGGGGGGATGGTCACACCACAATCCCTTCTCCTCTGTTCTCCTCTCGGGATCTTGGGCATGCACGCACACGCGCCCGAGTTTTAAGCCACCGGGTCCGAGACACGAACCGCGGTCGACTACGTGGGAGTCCAGCGACATAGCCATTACGCCAACTGCTGGTTCCCCCATCCATACTCTTTAAATACTTAGTTCCACAAGCAGGCAAACATTAAATATATTCTAGTGAGAGTCTCCAGCTATTCACTTGACTTCTCCCTACACCTGTGCCCGGTGAGGCCCTCTGCTATGAAGGTCCAGTTCTGGAGATACTTTGGGAGGAAGAAAAGATGCTAGAAGAGCAGCACTAGGAATGTGTTTACCTTTCTACAGGAGTGAAAGTAGTGGCGCAAAGTGTTCATGAAAGACTGACCCAAGTCTGGTATTTCTAACACAGCACAGCAGGGGGTTAAATGATGTAGGCTATAAAGAGATGGGAGGGAAGGGGGAGCCAAACCGTAACCTCTAAGAAACAGAAGAGAACACTGCAGTATAGGGAACAGGAAATCCCATATGAGCAAACATGAGTGTGAGAATGACTTGACGTGAGGTGGAATTCTCCCCCGCAGGTACATAAAAGGCCTTTGTGTGTGTCTAATGAGAAACTGGAGCCTAAGAAACCTGTAAGCTGCCACTGAAACCAGAGGAGCCCATCCTCCTGCTGTTGTCTTGTTTGTGGTGCCTGTGAACCCAGAGAAAGCCTCATCAGGAACACGCTTCCCTTTGGGGCTCCGAGGTCTCTGAGACAACACTCTGACTCCATGGGAGGTTGAGGAAAACATCCCTTTTGGAAGTGCTTCTCATGTTGCAGTGGAAAGAACATCAAGGAAAAGGCCTGAAGGAACTTGGACTCATTTAGGGAAAATTAAAGATGGAAATAGTAGGAAAGAAATTCCTGCTAAACGAGCAAAAACAAATGTTTTCTTCTCCCCATTTAATAGGACTTCTGATAGCATGTTGTTCTCAGTGTTAGAAAACTTGGCCAGCTCCCAACAAGGACTTCTAATACCCAAGGAGAGCAGATTCACCTGCCTCTGCTGACCTGGCTTCGGTGGGGTCCCTGTGTGAGGTGCCCCTTCCCTTCTGCCAACAACTTAAGCCAGAAACCTTCTTCCAGCCTTGAACCCCACTATACACGGATTTTAGCCTGGATCCTGGCCTAATGATATTTTCTGGGCACCTTATTTGAGCCAGGGAATTCTGTATTTCTCCCTACTGGCCAAAACCCTTTATTTAACAAGAAATTGTCATTTATGGAACAGCTCCCCTCTTTTGATCAAATAGTTTAAAATGTCCTGGTAGATCAGGAGCCCATTGTTCTAATGTGAATCAAAGCATTTCATTCCCTGTCTTCGGAAGAGAGGATTTATTCCAACTTTCTTCTCTGATTAGGATATTTGTCAAAAAGGATGGCATAAACCCTTAATGATCTCTTTTGAATTCTAAAATGTGGCAACCTCTATGACAATAAATATGAGTCTGTAGTTCTTCTCTAATCTCCACTCTTTTTCTTTCTTTAACCAACTTGTGGAACCAAGGTTAGATAATAGCAGAATATATTTAAAATCGATTAGATTGACAAGGTACATGAACTATCTCCAAATGTATGTCTACATGGTTGTCCTCCATACCTCTTTAATTCAAAAGTTCTAGTTTTGATAAAGGAATAGTCTATCTTGAACACATACCTTAGAGCTTCATTGCCACTTTTCTCCCTTTTTTATATTCTGCCAAATTTTAAGTCCCTGTGAGAGTACTTATCTCAAAAAGCCAGACGTTCCTCTGAAGATAGGATATAAAAGAAAAGCCCCAACAGGGATCAGCGGTTGACGTAATGGCTATGTCGCTGGTCTCCCACATAGTCGACCGCGGTTCGCGTCCCAGATCCGGTGGCTTAAAACTCACGCCGGGCACATATGCATGCGTGGCCAAGATCCTGAGAGAACAGAGGAGGAGGGATCGCGGCATGGTCATCCCCCTGGGGGGTGATTTCTCGCTTTCTGTCTGTCTCTCTGTCTCTCTCTGTCTGTTCGGTGAGCGCACACGCCCTATAGCAAAAAACCTCTCAAAAAAAAAAAAAAAGCCCCAATGAAGACCACCCCAATGGACTCTCAGTGAGATACATGTAAAGCAATCATTCCCTCAGGTCTGTAGTAGGTACAATGGGGGCTGAAAATAATATTTAGAAAATGAAGAGCAGGGAGGAGGCAGGAAAAGATTGAAGGCAATAAAGATGTTTCGTTTCTAGGTCTCCAGTGCTGTGATTTTTCTTTAGATGACTGAATGCAGGTGAAAACATTCATCGTTTCTCTTCCTTTGGCATAAATCTGCTGGGATATGCTATGGATACATGTCTCTGGGGGCTCGTAAGTCTGTAATCTCAGTTCTTCTTGGGTAGTCATCTCCAGAGCCTACGTCCATGGGTTCTGGATAGCTGGAAAATTCCTGAGGTAATGGAAACTCCTCTGCTGAAGAGTGAGTCCGGTGTCCGAACACCTTTTCCTGTAGCTCTGTGATGTCATTGCGGATGTCCGCCAGCATCAGTAGCAGGAAGTCGAAAGAACCAGGGGGTCCCTGTGCACACGGGAGGAATCAAAGCTGAAATGCAACAACTCAACCCTGGGCAACAGCAACGGCCTCCGAGGACTCCATGATTTGCTAGTCTTGCTGCTTGCTGGCAACTACTTCTCAGTGACTCTCAATGGAGTAAACACAGAGGCTACTTTTGTAGCCTGGAGGATCCTCAAGACTGTTTTCTAATTTCTCCGTCTCACATATGAGCTTTGATGATGTATTTACCTCTCCTCCCTCCTAACTCTAGGCTATATGAAATCTGGTAGGTTAAGGAATATGGGAATAACTCAACGATGTTACCTTCCAAGAAATCTAAAAGACACTAAAAACACAGTAGAGTAGTGTTAAGAGGTTGGGTTCTGCTGGGTTTGAATTCCAGCTCTGCCACTTATTAACCACGTGGTCTTGGGAAAGTTACTTAATCCCTTATAGACGGGTTTCAGTTTTCCCATCTGTACAATGGGGATAATACTAGTCCCAACTTCACAGAGTTCATAGGCGAGGATTTAAATGAGTTAATATATGTAAAGAGCTTAGAACTTAATAAATGCTCTAAATTTTTTTTTAATGAAATTATTGTGATGTTTATATGATGGCTCACTACAACTGTAGACTAAATGAAAGCCTTATTGACCAGGAAAGTTCTGGACAAAAAGTTTCCTAATTTATTTATTGAACATCTTTCATCTTATATAGCATTTAATAGGCTTTAACTTTCATGTAGTCCTGTGTAGGGCAAGGTACAAAACATGTAAACATACATGTTCTGGGCCAGATAGAAGCTGGCCATGAAATATTAGGGCGTTGGGAAAGTTACGACGTACTTTTCTATGCAAAAATGTGTCATGACTCTTCTGACAACCCAATAGTTATCCATCCCCACCACTGCTGCCAGCACTTTTGTAGCAGCAGCTTACGTCTGTAGTACTTAGGAGGTACAGTATTGGACATCACTAGAGCCTTACAATCACTACTACTGGCACCTCACAGGCGAGGAAATGAATGCCAGGAACAACAGGTGACGTGGTCTCATAGTGGAAGCTAATAGGTAGAAAAGCTGAGATGGGAATCCCTTCTCTGTCCACATCTCTTTGTCTTTTTTCAGGAATTACAGACTTCTTTAGAAGCAATAGAGTTAATTGAATTGTCCATGCTTTTGGATACCATCAGTTTTTATTTTTCATCTCCCAGACACTATGTACCTCCTATATGACGCTCATTTCTTCCCAAGTCCCAAGCAGCTGTGCAAGACTGCGCTTTTTGGAGGGGATGGTTGGTTGACCTGCTAGGTTTGTTGAGATGGCTAAACTCTTAAGTGCTGGGAGTTGAGACTTAACCCCTTCGATTTCTTTCCTAGTCCCTTCAGTTGTTTTATGATATACCTGGAGATAGACTCAAGGCATACTGGAGATCTGAACCTGGGGTGAAGCCATCCTAAAGACTAGCTATTATAAAAGAAAAAAATAACAAAAGAAAACAAATTTTTAAAAAATCCAACCAGTGGGAACAGCAGTTAGTGTAATGGCTATGTCGCGAGACTCCCATGTAGTTGACCGCGGTTTGCGTCCCGGACCCGGTGGCTTAAAACTCACACCAGGCGCGTGTGCATACGTGCCCAAGATCCCGAGAGGAGAATGGAGGAGAAGGGACTGAGGCATGGCCATCCCTTCTAGGGGGTGATTTCTCGCTTTCTGTCTCTCTGTCTCTCTCTGTCTGTCTGGCGAGTGCACACGCTTTATAGCAAAAACCTCTAAAAAAAAAAATCCAACCAAGCTGCTAAAAGCTTCTATGGCTCTCCTCCTAATCAGGATGCTGTTGGGGTGGCAGAGTGACTGCTGGAGAGGGCAGGCTTTTGCTACTAACACCAGCTTTCATGCTATAAAAACTGCATCCCTGAGGACATTTCCAGAGCAGCAGGACAGACACAGCTACTTACCGGAGACCCTCTGGGCCCAGGTGCTCCTCTCTCCCCCTGGAAACAGACAGGCCCAGGTTAACTTTCTGTACCATACGGATTCCATGCCCAGTGCCTACTTAGACACCCATGAAACCACCTCCCTGCATGAAACAAACGCAACAAATGTCTTCTATAGAAAATGAATGTAAGATTAAAGGGGACCTGTAGGATCACATATTTGGACACAATTGCTTGGGTCAAGTGTCTTTCATTCCAATCACTCCTACCTTCTACCCTAAAGCCATGTATTTCCAAAGCTTATCAGATGACAGGAAAGCTGGTATATCCAGATGGTGTGTGGGTTAATGGGAACTTTCTTTTTTTAGAACGAGAGAGATTTTTTGCTAAAGGTGCATGTGCTCACCAGAGAGAGAGAGAGAGAGACAGAGAAAGTGAGAAATCCCCCCTCTAGGGGGGATGGCCACACCACAATCCCTTCTTCTCTTGGTATTTTGGGCGCAAACACATGTGTCTGGAGTGAGTTTTAAGCTGTCAGGTCTGGGACTCGAACCATGGTTGACTAAGTGGGAGTCCATCAACATAATCATTCTGCCACCTACTGGTACCGATGGGAACTTTCTAAAGTCACATGCACTGACTTCCTTATGGACAAGTGGCAGGCAGCTATCAAGGCACAACCATCCACACTCACAGAATCCAACTCCTGATCTCGACTTACACATCTCAAAGAAATGGGGACATACCAATACCAACCAGACCAAATGCTGGTTAGAGAGAAAAAGAAAGGTAGTCATTACAACAGAGACTTAATGTTAGCATTTATTGAGGTCATTTTTCCTGGGAGTAGTTTTTGTTTTTATGGTTAGCTTCATACTCTAAGAAAACTTTTCGGATTTTACTCTTAGCTTTAGGGAAAAAGTATCTTTCTCCCTTGGTTTTGCCACTGCAAAACAGGGATGGTAAACAGTGCTTGCTGAACTTCACTCGGTGCAGAGGCACACAAGAAGGCCTTCAGCTGGAAGGACCACTCCTAAGACTCACCTTAGAACCATCTCTTCCTGGAGCACCTGGGGGACCCTATAAAGCAAAAGAATTTTGTTTAATAAAGGGAAAAACATAAGGCAACAACAACATGTTTTCCAACACCAGTAGGCAGATTTATGACATCATACTGACCACAGGGCCCCTCCGGCCTTGCTTAATGTGGGACAGATCTGGAGATGGTCCCATAGGTCCCATTGAGCCCCGTGGGCCAGGCTGCCCGGGAGGGCCTGGCATACCGGGGAAGCCTGGGCTGCCTTTTGGTCCTGGTGAGCCTGTAATTAAAGAACACCTCATTAGCTCAGAGCCCAGGAGAAGGGCAAGGGCTCTGGATGACAGGAGAGCCCAGAGCCCCTTCAGCCATTTCCTGTGTGCTCTCTCCTCTGTCTCTGACATTGACACTAGGATGTCTGACAGGCACTTAAAAAAATATATATATATACATATAAAAAAATATATATATATACATATATACATATGTATATATATGTGTGTGTGTATATGTATGTGTGTGTGTGTATATATATGTGTGTGTGTGTGTGTGTGTGTGTATATATATATATGTATATATATTTTTATCTGTGGTAAAATGCACATTCATGTGCACAAGAAAGGAAGAGACAGACACTCTCAACAAGGTCCACCACACTGGTTCTCCAACAATTCAGGACTGTGGGCATAAACCCAATATGTTTTCAAGTCAACCCAGGGAGTAGAACTGTGGTCTGTCACATTGGATTCCAGTACTACAGTTCAGTTTGTCACGGACTGCACTTCCAGGCAAGCCCCTATGGTCATGTTAAACTTAACATGATCAAAGGTGACTCCCCCATGTTCCTCTCTTTTCATGGGGGCACCAGTCACCTATTCACTCAAGCCAGATACTTGAGTGTCTCCCCACATAATTTCTCTGTTTCTACCACCTCCTTATTCAGTCAGTGACCAGCTCCTATGTTTTACCTCTTTAATAGCTTTTATAACATATTTTGATCATGGCAGACCAGCAGTTCTCACAAGGCAGTGGTTATCACAACTGGACAGAGGTTAAGTATAGGTTTTAGTATTGGCAAGATGTAGCCTTGAATCCTGGACAAGTTGTTTGAGTTCTGTGAACCTTAATTTTTCATGTATAACATCAGAAAAATTAAAATCTTCCCTATACGTGGTTTGTACTAAGTGATAGTTTAGACAGACACACACACACACACCGCTTAACACAATACTCCATATATAGTAAGCACTAAAAAAAAAATACAAAAGCAAAAACACAAAACTGTCAGGCCTGCCTTATGTCTGCTTCAGCCCTTGCCTCAGAACTAGTCCTGTCTCCCACCAATCTTGTTCATCCCTCACCTATTCTTTGCACTTTTATATGAATAGTATAACTTTCCTACTTTCAACCATCTGGTGCAAACACCTCAAGCTACTGAGGTGAGACAGCAAAATCTGTCTTACAAGACCCTGGCAAGTATCGACTACTTCTGGGGAAGGGGGAGGAAATGCCCTCCTGTGCAAAATTTGCCTCAGATACAAGGCATAAAGATCATACTACGCGGGCCAGCAGATGATGGCACAACAGTTCCATCACTGGACTCCCACAAGGCTTACTGTAGTCCAAGTCCTGGACCCAGTGTCTTGAAACTCAAACTGGGCACGAGTGCGCGTGTGCCCAAGATCCCAGGAGGAGAATGGAGAAGAAGGGACTGCAGCATAGCCATCCCCCCTGGAAAGTGATTTGACACTTTCCCTCTCCCTGTGTCTGTCTCTCTCCTCTGGTGAGCACACATGACCTAAAGGCAAAAACTCTCAATAACAACAAAAAGGCCCAGATGCATAGGTCATGGTTAGGACTGCAGCTGCACTAGGAGAAATGAAAATGTCCCCTTGCCTCACAACTCTAGCATGAAGTAATGAGTCACACGCTGTACGCCCAGGAGAAGGGCAAGAGTGCAGAGATGGAAGCCCTCCATGGTGCCGCAGGTATATACAGGAGGATGCGTGTAGGTTCTATGCAGACACCATGCTGTTTTGTTTAATGGAACTGAACATCCACAGATTCTGGTATTTGAGAGGGCTCCTGGAACCAAACCCCTGCAGATATGACTGTACATAAGTTTAAGAACAAGCTATCTGCTTTTGTGCCTGCTTGATAAGAACTGTTTATAGTGTGCTAGAATTTGGTCATACCACTTTTTATGGAAGTTGATGGGAAGAGAACTCTAGGCCTTTACCTTTAACTACAGACACAGAGGGCTGTAAGTAGCTACTTTGGCTTGAACTGGTCTTGCCAGTTGGGAGTGGGGAGCGTCCCCACCTCTGTGCAGGACACAGCATGTCTGTCACACCTTGAGGACTCCAGAAAGTAACTTGCTGGCTTTCCAGGGACCACAGCTGTGTAAGTGGGGCAGTGCCTTGGTACAAGCATCAGCGCATTCATCTCTGTGCTAGTCTTTGAATATCAGCTGGTGGAATGAGGAAAAATGGATTGGGCACTTTGAGAACATTTAAAAAAACTGGTAAAAATCACAAGCCAAGGGGCCAGCAAGTGGCACAGTATGTAAGGCCCTGGGTTCTCGCATGGCGGAGTGTGGTTCAAGTCCTGGACATTGTGGCTTGAGAATCATGCTGAATGCATGTGCATGTGTGCCCAAAATCCCTGGAGAAGAATGAAGGAGAAGGGACTGTGTGGCATGGTCTTTGCTCCTGGGGAGGGGGTGATTCCTCACTTTCTGTCTCTTTCTCTGTTTCCTCCAGTGAGCGCATGTACCCTGTGGCAAAAACAAAAAACACACAAAAACTCCCAACAACAACAAACACACATACAAAAGCCAAAAATTTATCATTTCAACCAGTTTAAATACTTTCCCACTGTAAAACTGATCTCTAGAACTGACACTAGATCTAGAACTGAACTGATCTCTAGAACTGATACCCATTGTACAGCAATCCCCTATTTCCTCCTCCACTAAGCCTCAAACCACATTCTACTTTGTTTTAATGAATCTGATTATTTTGGATACTCATATAGTCATCACACAGCATCTATATTTTGACTGGCTATTTGACTTTGCATAATGCCCTCAAGGTTCATCCAGGTGGAGCATGTGTCAACATTTCTCTTTTTAAATTTTTTTAAAAAAGGTCTTACTGTTATTTCCCTCCCTGCCATAGGATGAGGGGGGGGGAGAGAGGGAGGGAGAAGGAGAGGGAGATGGAGATGGAGGGAGGGAAGGAGGGGGAGGGAGGGAGGAAGAGAGAGAGAGAGAGAAAGTGAAAAAACAAGCTGCCAGGTCTAGGACTTGAACTGCAAGTGGCTATGTGGGAATTCAACATATTAACCACCCTGCCACCTGTTGGCCCCAGCATTTCTTCTTTAAAGACTGAATAATAGTTCATTGTATTTATGTACCACATTTTATTTTGCCATTCATCCGTTCATTGACACTTGGTAGCTCCTACCTCTGGGCCATTATGAATATTGTTATGAACATCAGTGCACAAATATCTGTTTGAGATCCTACTTTCAGTTCTTTGGATATATACTCAGAGTGGGATTGCTGGAATCTATGGTGATTTCATTTTTTTGAGGAATCTCTATGTTATATTCTATAGCAGTTCTACTACTCTACATTGCTACCAACAGTTCAAAAGCATTCCAGTTTTTCCATATCTTTGTCAATATTGACTATTCCCCCCACCCCTCTTTTATTTTTAATAGTGACCATCCTATTGAGTATGAAATAATACTTCATTGTAGTTTTTGTGTGTACTTCTCTACTGATTAGCAATGTTGAGCATCTTTTAAATATACTTGTTGGTCATTTATATATCTTCTTTGGAAATACTTCTATTCAAGTCCTATGCCCATCTTTTAATAAATTTATTATTTTTTGTTGTCAAATTATAAGAGTTATTTATATATTCTTGATACTATCAGATAAGTGATGTGTAAATATTTCCTCCTATTCTGTAGGTTGCCTTTCACTCGGTTGATAATTTCTTCTGATAGACAGAAGTTTTAAAATCTGATACAGTCCATTTGTCTATTTTTTTGCTTTTGGTGCCTGTGATTCTGAGGTCATATCCAAGAAATCATTGCCAAATCCAGTGTCATGAAGGTTCCCATTGTGTTTCCTTCCAGGAGTTTTATAGTTTTAGGTCTTACATTTAGGTCTTTAATCCATTTTAATTTTTTGTATATGGTGAAAGATAAACCTCCGACTTAATTTTTTTTCCATGCAAAGTACACTGAATTTTAACTCATCTTAGATTGTCATCTCTGTGAGGACAGGAATTGTGCCCTATTCATTAACACACTCTTAAGAGTTTCAGCAGGCAGGGGCTTCCGCCCCGCGCAGCTGCGCAGCCACGAGCCAAACGGCCAGCCCCCCTCTCGGGGCCCCTTGGCCGGGGCT